ACAAATTCAATCCTCAACCTTAGCTCTGATACCAAATGATATGAATTCTTACAACCACAATTCATATACCACCCTAATTCAACCAATTCTAACTCCACTTAGGCTAGGATTTCTTCCAACTCCTTAAGACCACTCGGCTATCACCCTCCATACACACACAACTATTATGACAACTTAGAACAACTCCTTGTATCAAACTCCAATCAACACAAAAGCACTCTTGTTCAAATACACCACAAATGGATACATACACATCATGCAAACAAAATCCGGAAAAGAGGTAAATTGTAGCAAAAGGAAAATAACTTACAAAAGAGATGACCAAGGGATCAATCAAGCTTAAAGGAAACTCCACCAACTTGAAAGACACTCCACCACCAAGTTTGGCCGAACTTGGGTAAAGGAAAGCAAGAGAAAACAATTTCTCAAGGCAAAAGTACTATTCAATGTCCTCTACAAAAATGATCAAGTGGCCTTTAAATAAGCTTTACAAAAATTAAGGGATTTACCCTAGCAAATATTACATGATGGAAACATTAAAATATTGCATGAAAATTAATAAACAATAAGTCTCCACCACACAAGTCAAAAGCAAGCCATACCCATTAAATGTCATGGACAACCTTTCCCTAATTTAAGGACCTATGTCCTTAATAATAATTTTAGGGATTTTCCTCCAAAATTTGAATCAAATGACATCCAAAACTTGGGTTTGGGCCAAGGTAACTTGTTCCCACTTCTTGTTCACGTTTTGGGCCACAAAATAGGGCTTGAGCTATGCCTTGGAACCTTAAGACCTCTTGGACAATTTTGTGAGCTTCCTTGAGTGTTTGGGTTGCTTGGGCCGAATGTTGTTCTTCATGTTGTCCTTGAGTCTTCATTGAAATCTCTAGCATTTGTGATGAGTATGATGGGCTTGGATTCTCATCATTAGTTGGCTAATTGGAAGATGATGATCGGCTGGTGTGGTTTTGTCCCTTTCTTGTCTTTTTTTTTTTTTTTTTTTGGTAGGTTGTGAGGGTGGTCTGCTAGTGGTGACCTGTTGTGGAAGATTGGGTAGTTGGCTGCCTGCTTTTGTTTTTTCTTAGTGTAGCAGCTTTGCTTTTGTTTATGTTGTGGTTTTTTGTACAGGCTCCCAAGGTTTGCTTTTTCCTGTTGTCTCTCGGTCCTTGGTTTTTCTCAAGGGTCGGAGTTGGGGTCTTCATCCCCTTTAGGTGTATTCATTCATTTTTTTTTTATAAAATTACCATTTAAGTGCTTTCAGTTTTAGATTTATTAATGGGTATGGCTTTAAAATATTTATCTGAAGTCGACTCCAATAAAATTTCAGTCATCATTTAATAGTTAAGTGGATGTTTATGCTTCACTTGTATTTGGACATAATCTCAAAGAGTCTTTAGCTGTTAGCAGATATTTGTAAATTTAATTTGATATATCCTCATTGTGGCAAGGAATTTTATTTGATGATTTTCTGTCTATTGCTTAACATATTACAATTTTTTAGGAGTGGGCAAAACTGATACTCTGCTTGATTATCCACACAATAGGTTCGATCGTGTTTAGTTATTAATTAAACAACCTATTTTGCATGAAAAAAAATTACAAAACCACACGTTACATGACAGAGACAGATCCTAAAACCAATTGAAAAGCTCACGGGCAATTCCCAAGCGAGAAATTGGCCATATCATCATCATCAACCATCTTCAAGCAAATCAAATAAACCAGTAAATACAACTTCTTCAAATAAATTGGATACTACACCCCCTGTCACACCTCCATCAAACAGCATACTACACGACCTGCCATAGTTCAATCAAGGACTGCAGAAATTAGCACAGCCATACCACCCTGCCCCTACTGCCCCAAACATCTGGAAAAAACAAAGATAAACTACACCCTGCACTTTTGCTAAATCTGCACAGCCAACAGACAACTACTCCATACAATCTGCAATAAAGCAGCAACCTGCTGCACAGCTAGCTTAACTGCACCACCCAAAATCAGAACCAAGCATAAACCTGCTGCTGCAACTCCATACAATCTACACATTCTGTTTGCTTGTGCTCGGCAGCCTATGCACAATACAGACAGCAGCAAACTTTTTCTTGCCCAAAGACAAGCCTCCACCCTTAGTTCCACAATCACCCATAGACATCAAACCTGACATTAAATCTATAGCAATATGCATCAACCTAGTAATTAGTACAAATACTTGCTGCTGCACCCCCAATTTTCCCACACAAAAGCTTCACCAAACACCATACTCCATTAGCAGCAGTATTTGTGTTGAAGCAGCATCAAAACTGTACACCAACTGCATTTTCGAGATAAACTCACTTGAACTAGTTCCAGACTGTAGACAAACTTCCCAACCACAGAAACAAATAAATTTATAACCAGACTGCATCATACATCACAATAGTAATAATTTATAAACAAATAAATATGTCAATGCTAGAGAAGACTCCATCAACAGGAGCCAACATCTTTCAACGTAGAAGATCTAATACAATTTAAAGAAAAGGATAAAAGTGGCTTTGCTTCATATGATATCCGATAAAAAAAAATCAAGTGTAACTTACAGATATATACACATTATTTGAGCCAGATTCTTGAGAACTGTTACCTCAGAGCCAACTCATACAAAACAAACAAAGAAAAGAAGCCAGAAATCTGCCTTGATTACACACAAAGTAAGGGAGCAAAAAAATGGCAACCAACAATGAAACCACACCCAAGCATTTAAATACAGACAATCATTTTGACACATGATTTTTATATTGGAAATGAGTTTCATGAAAAATGAGTTCCTCTTCTTTCTTTATGATGGATATTGAGTTCACAAAAGATAAGCCTTACGGTGGAAGAGGAAGAGCGAACGACAGTGGTGAGTGGTGGTGGAAGACGATAACCCACGGTCGTGGAAGAGGAAGAGCGAATGATGACGTCCAGTGGTGGTAGAAGATGATTGCCAGCCGGCGGTGGTGATGGAAGAGGATAGATTGATGGGAGAGATTTGATTTAGAGGAATGAATGAGATTTAAATTTCGGGAATTTTCTTAGGTTTCATTTCAATTTTAGGAGAACTGATTTGGGGGAATAGATTTAAGGGAAGGAGGATTTTGAATCAAATTATTTATTTATTTTTTTAATTTTTGGGATTGGTTGACGTGACAATTAATTGATTGACATATGAGGTAGCATCTGCCACATCAACGCCACATCAGTTAGTATGGCAGATTTGATACCAAATGAAGTTTCCAATTCCTATTTCATCTCATTTCATCCATATGCCAACAATCTAACACTGAAACATACAAGATTCAACCAACTCAACACTAATTCGGCCAAGACAAATTCAATCACTCTTAAGCTCTTTTAACACCTTAAATCACCAATCTTAACATGTTAACAATCTCTAAGATCAACCAATCAAAACACTTCACAAATTGAAGCAAAGATTTCACACTCATAAACCAAAATTGAGAATGGGAAAATGGAAACCCAAATGAAAATAACTTACTAGGATAAATGGCCAAAGGACATTCAAGCTTAAAAGAGGCTCCATCGGCTTGAATTAATCCACCACTAAGCTTAGGCTGAAACTTGGATAAAGGAAATGCAAGAAGACTTAAATTCCATTGAAATACCATTCATCATATTCATTTATCTAACTTTACAAAAATGGGAGAGTTGCCTTTATATAGGCATTACAAATAAGGGAATTGCCCTTTACAAATATCTCAAAATATTACACATAAATTAGGGCTTAATTCTCTACCACATATTCAAAACATAAGGCCATACCAATTTAATGCAATAGTATAATCACTCCCTTAATTTTAGGATCTATGTCTCTAACAACTAATTAACTTGATTAACCTTTGTTCACTTGAATCAAATAACATCCCATCATTGGGCTTGGGCCAAATGAACCTTTCCACACTTGGCCCACGCATATAATAGGGCTTGAGAAGTGTCTTAGACCTTTAGCACTCCATGGACAAGCCTGTGAACTTTTTTGAGTGATTGGACCGATTAGTGCACACCTTGCAAAGTTTGGGCTTCTTAATTCTCCAATGGAAATTCTTGCACAACCAAAGACTCATTTGGGCCTAGAATCTCATCATCCTCTCCGGGTTGAGAAGGATTTGTCCTTAAATCCGAAAGTTCTCCATCTTCAAAGTAAGGAGGCAAATCCAATTTTGAAAGTGGTCGAAACATTACCAAATTCAAAGGGCAAATCAATCTTGTATGCATTGTCTCTAGCTTTTCGAAGAACCTCAAAAGGTCCATCGGCTCTAGGTGCTAGCTTGCTTTTCCTCTTGGAAGGAAACCTCTCTTTTCTCAAATGAACCCACACAATGTCACCTGATTGGAAATAAGTGGGCTTCCTATGCTTGTTGGCTCTCTTTTTATAAACTTCCTTGGATTTGGCTATTTGGGCCCTAATTAACTCATGTAGCTTCTTCATAGACTTTGCCTTCTCTTTAGCATCAAGATTCACTTGTATATCAAGGGGTAAGACACTCAATTCTATGGGAGTGATGGGGTTAAGACCATAAAAGACCTCTAATGAGGAATGGTTAGTGGTAGCACTAGAGGACCAATTGTAGGCAAATTCGGCATGGGCTAGTTTGTTGTCCCAATCTGTCAAACACTTACTCACTAAGGTTTTTAGAATGGTCCCTAAAGTGCTATTTGCTATTTGTGACCTCGGTTTGACCATCGGTTCAGGGGTAATGGGAAGTGCTAAATAAGAGTTTTGTTCCCCAATCAACTCCATAAAGATCTCAAAAAATGACTAAGGAATTTGGTGTCCCTATCCGACACAATGCTTCTTGGAACACCATGCAACCTCACAATCTTTTTGAAAAACAACCCAGCCACATGTGATGCATTATTGGTCTTGTTGCATGCAATAAAATGTTCCATTTTAGAGAATCTATCAATAACAACCATTATGGAATCCTTACCTTTTTGAGTTCTCAGCAAGGCTACAATGAAGTCCATGCAAAGATCTTCCCAGGTTGATTAGGAATTAGAAATGGAGTGTACATCCCTGGTTTGAAATGACTGTTGGCTCTATGACGAACTCCACATCTAGCCACTATGGTTTGCACATCCCCAAGCATCTTTGGCCAATAGAAATGCTCCCTAAGAACTTCCACTATTTTGGTAACTCCAAATTGACCGGCAAGCCCTCCTCCATGCACTTCTCTCATAAGCAACTCTCTAAAACTCCCATGAGGCATACATAGCTTGTTGCCCTTGAACAAAAACCCATCTTGGACTACATAATCTTTAAAACTGCCCTTAGTAAACTTAGCCATGATTGTGGCCATCTCTTCATCTTGCTTGTAATGCTCCTTCATCATACCAAACCCCAGTACTCTTGATCCAAAATGGAAAGGAAGGAGTACCTTCTTGACAAAGCATCAGCCACCGCATTAGTACTCATTTGCTTGTACTTGGAAACAAATGAGAAAGATTGAAGAAACTCAACCCATTCAGCATGCCTAGAGTTCAACTTATGCTACCCATTGATAAACTTGAGAGCTTGCTGATCTAAATGAAGCACAAATTGTTTAGGCCTTAAGTAGTGACTCCAATGATCTACTGCCCTAATAATGACATAGAATTCCTTATCATAAGTGATATATTTCCTCCTAGAGTCATTGAGCTTCTCACTAAAGTATGTTAATGGCCTCTTGTCTTGAGTAAGGACTGTTCCTATTCCAACTCTACTTGCATCACACTTAACCTCAAATACTTTGTTGAAATCGGGTAGAGCTAGTATAGATGCTTCACAAAGCTTCTTCTCGATCACTTCAAATGCCTCACTTACCTCTTTTGTCCACTCAAAAATTCCTTTCTTTAAACACTCGATGATGGGACATAAGAGTACTAAAATTGGGCACAAATCTCCTATAAAAAGAAGCTAAACCATGAAAACTCCTTACTTCACTAATATTTTTAGGTTCAAGTCAACTCCTAATTGCATCCAGTTTTGATTAATTGACCATTATACCCTCTCCCGAAACTACATAGCCTAGAAACACAATGCTCCTCATAAAGAACTCACATTTCTCCATCTTAGCAAACAACCTTTGCCTCCTCAAGACATCAAACACTTGCCTAAGATAGCTAACATGCTCACCCTCACATTGGCTATACACTAGTATATCATCAAAATAAACCACTACAAATCTGCCCAAGAAAGGTTCTAGTACCTCATTCATCAGTCGCATGAAGTTACTTGGTGCATTAGAGAGGTTGAAGGGCATGACCATCCACTCATAAAGTCTTCCTTTTGTCTTAAAGGTTGTCTTCCATTCATCTTTTTCTCTCATCCTTATTTGGTGATATCCACTCCGAAGATCAATCTTAGAGAAGATGTTGGAGCCATGTAACTCATCAAGTATGTCATCAAACCTAGGTATGGGATACCTATACTTGATTGTGATATTGTTTATAGCCCAGCTATCCACTCACATTCTATAACTCCCATCTTTCTTTAGCACTAACAATGCGGGAACTAAACAAGGGCTCATGCTCTTTCTCACTTATCCACGGCTAACCAGTTCATCTACTTGCCTTTACAACTTCTTTGTCTCCTCTAAATTGCATCTATAGTCTAGTTTGTTTGGTAAGGGTGCCTCGGGTAACAAATCAATGTAGTGCTCAATCCTTCTCAATAGTGGTAACCCCCGTGAGAGCTCTTTGGGAAAGACGTCTTGGAATTCATGGAGTAAGGATTAGACTAAAGGATGAATCTCTCTCTCTTGGGTTTCTTTTCTCTCAGCTATGAGTAGTGCTAGGAATGGTTTTTGGTTATTAAGGGTCTTTTCTACTTGGTTGACATTTAGGAATAGGCTCTTTTGTGGGTTATTGGTTTTGGGTGGTGTAGGTGTGGGAAGTGTTTGTTGATGTGGTAAAGGGGATAAGGTGATGGTTTTCTTGTTGAACCTAAAGGTGTAGGTATCTTTTCTCCCATAATGAACAATCTCCCTATCATATTGCCAAGGCCTCCCTAACAACAAGTTGCAAGCATCCATGGGTATCACATCACATACTACCTCATCAACATATCTTTTACCTATGGAAAAAAGAATTGCAACCTGTTTGGTAACATTTATGGTACTCCCATTGTTCAGCCATTGCAATTTATAAGGATGGCTATAGTTTTAGATGGGAAGATTCAGTTTTTCAATAAGGGTGGTGGAGGCTACATTAGTACAACTTTCATTATCTACTATAACCGAACATACCTTTCCTTTGATGGTGCAACGGGTTTGAAACAAATTTCTTCTTTGTTCTTCAGTGGAATCAACTTGTGCATACAATACCCTCTTCAAGATCAAGGCATCCCCAACATCAGCTTCTTCAATGACTTCTTCACCACTTTCAGACTCTTCATTTTCACTCTCTTCCTCTTGGATGGTCTTTTTAATCTCTTATATCTCCTTGATTGACATTACCCTCTTGTTAGGACAATTGGCTTGGAAGTGTCCATGACCATGACATTTAAAACACTTCTTGTCCTTTAATCACCTTAGGTACCTTCTTGAGTCACAAATTGTGGCTTCTCCTTGGTAGCTTCACTCATCTTTTCCATACCCTTGTCTTTTGTAGTGTTGACATAGGGTTTGGAATATGATGGATGTTAGAGTAGCTGCACTAGAGCCAACGATTTAGCTCTTGTAAACTCATTTCAAATTATTGAATAAAAGACATCGCTTATTTATGAGCAGATACTGTACCATCTATTTATTGTGTATAAAGAAAATAGTATATGTCCTTAAAAAGGTTGGAACCAATGACTAGGGAATTAAGTGTTATAAATCTTAATTGTGAGAATCCTATGAACACAAGGTGGCCCTTCTTAAACCATCTATAGTCATAGTATAAATCTAGCCAAGGACACAGATTATACGGAGAGACTATCATCACATTGAATGACCTTATCGAAAGATAGTGATAGATCTCACATGTCAAGGTTGTGGGCATCAACTTGGTACAACGCATGGGTGCTTGCTTGTGTAAGTACACTAGACTGGCCCATCAGAGGATTCCACCCGAAATGGTAAACCTAGTGTCTATGGAATATATCCTCTTACGAATGGTGGTGCATGTAGTCCTTTGACTTGAGATCACTAGAGCACCGTCTATAAATATCGATGTGATTTGAAACTAGTCTAACATCGTCTCTTTTAGGGATTACTAAAATGGTGGTGATTGGTTACATCGAGAAGTACACTATGGCTATGGTGGATCAACAAAGGATTCATCACTCCTGATTACAGGAGATCTTATCTTGACAAGATATTTGGTTAAAGAACTACGACCTCAAATCCATGGCCACTATGGAATCGAGTTGGTGCTCGAATTCAATAGTCGTTAGATTAAAAAACCAAGTATAGAACATGTCAAGGTAACTTTTGAGGTAGACACTATTTCTGTACCTCAAACCTTGATGAGATAAAAGATGATGAAACAGATCAAATTGCACGGTAACCATACCGGAGACAAGGTAAGCCTAAATTGCTTATTCTTTACTTACTAGGGAATCATGATGTCTTGCTAGAGGCCAATCTTGATTGGTATACAAAAACACTAATTACTTGATGCTTAATTAGTTAGTGGGACACTGTCGGTAACTTGAAGAGCGTTCGGGTCACACACATAGAAGGTAGTTAAGTGAGAAACGGAAATAGAAGGACAATCTTGTCCTTGGGCCAAAAAGGGTATTTCGGTAATTTGGGAGTCTAGCGGCATTTTCGTCATTATAGGCGAAAATGACACTTTGGTAATTTTGCTAAGGGGTTGACGCCATTATCCAATTTATTGGGAGAATTTATAGCAAAATTAGAATCATATTAATTTTAATTAATATGGAGAATATATACTTAAATTAATTAAATATATATATTAAAACCCATATATTAAATATGATAAATATATATAAATATATATACATAAAATAAATAGTAATATTTATTTAATTATAATATGTATTTATATATAGGAATTAAATAAATAGGAATATTTATTAAATTAGGATTCATATTTTAGGAGAATATCTTTAAGAGATGTTCTGTTCCCTTATATCAAGGATTGTAATCCAATTCAAATAAAGATTGTAACCCAATCCAAATAGGAATTAAGGATTTACAATCCTTACTGGACTCTTATTTGGGATTGTTTATATAAAGGGTCATTGGGTTTTGTTTTAAAAGAGCAATTATCATAAAGTTAATTTGCAATTAACTCTCCCCAAAACCCTAGCCGCCGCCAACCCTAGAGAGAGAAACTCTCTCTCTAAATTCCTCCACCTCCCTTAAGCCTTCCAATTGATCTAGCAGTCAATCATAGGGTGATCTCGAGCCTACCTTCGTGTGGATAACGTTAGACTCGATCCTACGTTGGATTGATAGTGAAGTACCTATGAATAATACCCATGAACAGTACCCATGAATAGTGCCTATGAACAGTACTGAAAGTTCTAATCTAGAGAAAGAGCCACCAAAGGGAGGTATATCACATAACCTTGTATGGGTTTTTTAACTTATGTCGATTAATTTAGTCGAAATTGTGATCTTGGGTAACGGGACCGTGCCATGGCAAGAAATTTTTGTTGTTATTCTGTGCTTGCCACGACATGGTTCTCATAAGTGGTATAAGAGCTACGATTCAAGTAACTGAATACAAGGCTCCTCATCATATCGACAGTGAGTAGTCTTGCGATTGACACAAATCAATCATCTCACTAAACACAGACAAAGATTGGCCTCTAGCAAGGCATCATGGCTATTTGATAGATTCGAATTCAGAGAAACAGCTTGCCTGTCAACGATATGGTTACCGTGCAAACCTATGATTTCATCATCTGTTATCTCATCGAGGCTGAGGTACAAAAATAGTGTCAACCTCAGTTATCTTCGATATCTTTGTATTCAGTTACTGGACTAATGATTAGAATAATAAATTGGATTGAGCAACAACTCAATCCCACTGTGGCCACAGCTTTAATGTCATTGCCATTCACTGAATTGCGCTGTGAGATAACTTCTTTCGTATCCGGGAGTGATGGATCCTTTGTTGATCCACCATAGTCTTGATACACATCTTAATGCAGCCAATCACTAACGTATTGATAGCTTTGAATAGAACTACGTTAGGCTAGTGTCAACTACACCAATCGATGTACAAGGCGCTCCGGTGATCTCAAGTCTAAGGATCACATGCACCACCATTCGTTAGAGGATTTATTCCATAGACGCTGGGGTTACCATTTATATGGAATCCTCTGGTGGGTCTGTCTAGTGAACTTGCCTACAGCAAGCACCCATGTGTCGTGCCAAGTTGTCGGCAA